TCCACTCTCTGCACTCTCTGCACAAACTATTGGATATGCGCCTAACAGCGCACATTTATCTAGGTTAAATGATACTGTGAACCATGGCAACAAATATTTTTTAAGTCAGTTTAATACGTTTAATCAGTTGAAACGACTTTCACAGTCAATTTGATTCAACTTAACTCATATTTAACCGTTGCTTCTTGTCATTGTAGGCGTAGGCTACTTTTTTCAATACATTTTAATGAATATACAAATTAATCAAATTAATTTTATTTATTTTTTATTACATATTGTTCATTCATTTATTTTTAACACCGCACCCCCAGCACCCCCATTTTTTCGTGGGCGACACTCCAGGGGGTGCTGCAGCACCCCCAGCACCCCTACTTCCCGCGGTAATGCACTCAGGTCAAGTGATTTGTTATGACTCAGATTGGGGGAAGTCGTGGCCTAATGGTTAGAGAGTCGGACTCGTAACCCAAAGGTTGTGTGTTCGAGTCTCGTACCGGCAGGGATTGTAGGTGGGGGGAGTGAATGTACAGCGCTCTCTCCCACCTTCAATACCACGACTGAGGTGTCCTTGAGCAAGGCACCGAACCCCCAACTGCTCCCTGGGCGCCGCAGCATAAATGGCTGCCCACTGCTCCGGGTGTGTGTTCACGGTGTGTGTGCACTTAGGATGGGATAAATGCAGAGCACTAATTCCGAGTATGGGTCACCATACTTGGCCACATGTCACGTCACTTTAATTAGCTGCTCTCTGGACAGCCAGCAAGGCTAAACCAGTGTCCTGTACTACACATCAGAAGCGCTGCAGGTCCAGCATGTGTATGAAGTAGGACGGCATCAAACCATTATTTTGATAAATCGATTAATCTAACGATTATTACAATGATTAACCAATTAATCATTGATCATTTCACTGATTAATCAGTAGACTTTGATTGGTTATTTAGCTTTTGAAGTTAGTTAAAATATTGTGTTATACATAATAAATAAAGGTAATCACATTATGTAAAAAATCATATTATGTAATTACAATTATTATATACAAATAAATATATTTGGCGCACAAAAAAAATGGCAGAGAAACTCTTATTCAGCATTTAATTAGCTATATGAGAAAGTAACTGAATGACACATCATTCTTTCTAACATCTCCTTTTGTAAGTCATTTGGATAAGAAACCACATAATCTCCCTTAAAATACTGTATAGGGTTATGATAATCAAAACAGTCCTGAGCTAGATCAAGCTTTGATCTCTGCAAACCAAACTATCACTTTAATGAAATGTTTTTCCCCACTAATAAAGAGATTTGAGCATTAGCTTTAGCTCCACACTGGAGAGCTGCTTTATAACAGAAAATCAGGTTGTAATTCTAACTGAAAGCGACACTGACTCTGGTTTTTCATGTTTAATAATACTGTAAAGCTGCTTGATTTAAGGCTATCTATTGCATAAAGCACTATATAAATAAACGTGAGGTGACTGGACTTTACTGGAGTACCGAACAAACATCCACATTGCTGTAATCAGATGCTGTCCTCACTGGGGATCTGTATCTGGGGCTCATCTAGTTGTCCTGGTCTCCGCTGTCTTTCAGGGCTGTAGAGGTCCTCTCTAGGTGCTGATCCACCATCTGGTCTGGATACAGACTGGATCTGGTGGCAGCGGTGACCTCGGAATAAGAGAGAAACAGACTAATATTAGCGTAGATGCCATTCTTCTAACGATGTAGCAAGTACATCGGGTGTTATGGGAATTAACATTTGACATTGAGAGAATAGGTCGTAATTTAGATATATTTTTGAGATGGAAAAATGCAGTTTTACAAAAAACTAGAAACGTGGCTTTCAAAGGAAAGATTGCTATCAAATAGCACACCTAGGTTACTAACTGATGACGAAGAATTGACAGAGCAGCCATCAAGTCTTAGAGAGTGTTCTAGGTTATTACATGCAGAGTTTTTAGGTCCTATAATTAACACCTCTGTTTTTTCAGAATTTAGCAGTAAGAAATTACTCGTCATCCAGTTTTTTATATCGACTATGCATTCCGTTTAGGGGTGCAACGGATCGTAGATGATCCGTGATCTGTACGGACCAGGCCCCACGGTTCGGCACGCATGTGATTCGCGGATTCGCTGTTTTCTATGCGCTCAGGCGCTGCCGCCACACGAGAAGCACGCACACGCAGAGAGAGACACTGCGTGAACACCGAATTGATTCCTCTTTCACATACACACAAAGTTTTGATACAATACCCGTTTTGGCAAGTATTCTAGTAAAAACAGTTGGTTATGTCTTAAAGGGGTCATATGATGCGATTTCATTTTTTCCTTTCTCTTTGGAGTGTTACAAGCTCTTGGTGCATAAAGAAGATCTGTAAAGTTGCAAAGACTAAAGTCTCAAATCCAAAGAGATATTCTTTATAAAAGTTAAGAGTTAGCCACACCTACCTAAAACGGCTCGTTCGAACACGCCCCCACATATCTACCTCACTATGCGGGAAGATTTGCATAACGCCGCCCAAATATTCACGCAAAGAAAGAAGGCGTAACTTTGATTCTCGCTGTAGTATTGTTGTTGCCACCCACACACTCACACACACACACACACACACACACACACACACTCACACACACACACACACACTCTCTAGCTCTCAGCAGTGGTGTCTATGGAGTGTCGCGACGCCTCTTCAGCCCAGATAACCTCATAAACACACAAACCTCATGGAATAACTCACACTAAACGCAAACACACAGTCCTGCGCGTGTGACGCCGGGGACTTTAACGTCTTTTCAATGTTTTACGTGTTTGATCTGTTCTGTACATGTTTTCATGCACTCATCAGAAACCACAGTGACCTCAGGACCAGAAGAGACTTCGGAGTGCATTTATTACCTCCATTTTTATTTCAACATCAACCTCCATTTTTACATTTTGTATCAAGTATATGCATAAATCTTAATGCTATTTTTATGGTGAAACGATATGTAAGAGTTTTATGTGCTGGGAGGATCATGTATTCTGCTCTGCTTTGGGTTTCGTATCTAGCATGTGCTCGCTTGACGCTGCATGAAGCTGCATTAAATGCATTGTGACGTTTCATGACGTGTCTTCTTCATTTATCCTTTCTTTTCATGCTTTATGGCAGGTTCATTTAGACTGTTTCATGCTTTTTTCTTTTAGAAATATAACAATGTTCTGTGCCATTTAAATTAGGCCACTGTTGCTAGATCTTTAGCATCTGATTTACTCTGTAAACAGCATGCATCATTAATGAGCTGATTAGTGGCTCTGTGATGTTTGATGGAGGATCTGTTGTTGGATTCACTGAAGAACCTTCATCCACTGCACCGGTGAAGAATAAAACCAATCTTTCTCTTAGTCCTGGGCGAAAATCTCTCTTCATAAAAACTATGACTAGATTAAACTGGTAAGGACTTCTTATTTAATCTACCCTTTATGTTCATTTATGTTCAAAGCTGTGTACTTTAATCAGTCATTAAAACTAACCACGTTATATTCGTGTGAATGTTTACCCTTCATCCTCCTCAGGGAATCACCCTGAAAACAAGCTCTTAAATAGTCTTTGCTACACTTCACATTACAGCATTCACACACACTTCAGATCAAGACCTAAAACGGGTTGATCGCAGTCTGGCGTCACTCACAGTAGATGAACAGCGCATGCGCCGGACTCGCGGCTGCGTTCACTTCGAAAGAATCGACTCCCTGAATGAATCGGATCCGAGTCGGTCGTCGTCTCGGTTTGTTTGTGCTGTCTTGAGACGCGGAACACGCAGGATCGGTGAGCTGCTCAAATATGCTACAAATATAGACAGACACAGCTTAACTCTGCGCAAATACAGCTCGAATAAGCTGAAATATAACGCACATCTCCGAGATTCAGTGCACGTTTAGTTTCTGTTTGAGAGTTGTTTGCGCTTATTTAAAATTTGTGTGCTTTGTTTGTGTACGTTTGCTGTGTTTTATGGTCATTTTTCTTGAAGTATGTTCGTATAAAGGTTCAGAGAGAGGAATGAGAGCGCTGAATGTTAGTAGGTGAGAGTTCACAGATCAGAGTCAACTTCAGCGGCAGTCAGCAGTTTCACTGATTAAAGCAGAGGTTTTCTCTTCAGCGGAATAATAACAAAGCCTTATGTAGATGATGAGATGACCTTTGACCTGCAGGACGAGCTGGGTAACCTTGGGTAACAGACAGCTCTGTGTGTGTGTGTGTGTGTGTGTGTGTGTCGACAGTAATGGCAGTCCAGGTGTGTTGCCGGGGTCAGCGCTTGACTCTGCGCATGCTCAGTAGGAGTGTGTCTCACAGCAGTGTCTCCATCAGCGAGCCGGACTCACACACACACACACCTGCGCCGTTCTCCCGCTCCGCCATCGGGACCTTCTTCCAGGAGCGACCTCTGCTCACAAACCCCTTTACCCAGGATGCACTGCTCCGGGCCTACCTGCAGCGCCACCTACCTGATCAGGTACATCTCCCAGGAGTGTGTGAGCAGGAGTGTGTGCTGATGGTGTGTGTGTGTGTGTGTGTG